CTTTCTCTCTTTCTCTCTTTCTTTCCTCTCTCTCTTTCTTGCGCGCACACACACACGTGCATGTGTGTACATAAAAAAAATCAGCTTTACTAGGGAGACTGGCAGGTGCCAAGAAATTTGTAGGCCAACAAACAGCCTAATCTACTGATAGGCTAATGGACTGATATGAAGTAAAGCAGTTTCATATGAACAACAGGAGTAATGTTTAGCACCATCCTAAAAGCACAGAGCAGGATCCTCTGGCATTAAAAGACACAAGCCCCCATGAAGCCAGAATATATATTATATTCAATTAAAATGATGCTATGGTTTTCATTCATTCATTAGACTGATAATACTACTCCATATCCATTGAAAAACTAGATTATATCATGCTGCTCTCCACAAAACAGAGTGGTATAATAGCAAGGGCATTGCACTTTTCTTCTAGTCACAACAGATAGTTGCAGAGTCTCTGCTTCTGACAACGTTGGCTCAATATGGAAAGCCCACACATTCACTGGCATTAGATAAAGTGCCTATTAGAATATGTGCCTATCCAGTGCAAGCTATGGATTTTCTGGGATCTGATATTAAAATTGTTCAGCTGTGTGGAGCATATGCACTTCAATGCTAACATTATTTGCAAAGGCTGTGGTAACTTGCAACTGCCCTTTGTCCTTGAGGCAATGCAAAAATATCCATCAGATATGGTAGAAGTTTAACTTCATGAATTGCAACATTTGCTTGTTAAATTCTTGTAGTTTTCAAGGTAAGCAAATGACTGCACAGAACTCCAGATACCTTCACCTAAACATTGTAAAACAGATATTTGAATTGGCTGATTTTACATTTACCAGGATGTAGCTTGTTTTCCCAAAGAAGATCCATAAAGTTATCCAGGTTTGTGAAATTGTAGTGAAGTGTCCCATTTATCACCCTGAAAAAAAAAAAAAAGTGCAGGTCTTTGACGACTGCTTGAATTGAAAGTCATTTTCCCCCAAGCATAATTTTACAAACTTTTCTTTAGTAAGATAAAAGAGCAGCAAACTAATTTTCAACTTAGAACAATGTATCTCAGTTTACAATAGGGCAGAATCTTTTTGAATCTTTTTCTCCCAGCCTTATGGTGCACCAGAGGGCATGTGGTCTTCTAATTAATAGTAGAGATGTCTGCAGCTGGTTGGTTACCTGACAGTTGCTTGAATCTCCTTAGTCTGAGAATCGGTTTTTATAGAAAATAGGTTTGATGGTGTCCACTACAAGCTAAGCCTATTTCTATGAAATATTATGGAGGAGGAGGAGTTCACTTTAAGTAAGAAGGGGCAATACAGCCCAGACGAGGAGGCCATGGAAAGGAAGTGTTTCAAACAGACTCTGCTTTAAGTAAGTTACTAAGTCTGCCTGGGAATTTACTCTTTCAGTTTTCAGGATTATGTTTTTAACTCTGACTAGCATTAAGGATGTCTTTTTGAAATCCACGTGGTTCTCACTTTTGCAGTTTGCCAGTGCTGGAAAGAAATCTTACCAAGTTCATTTCTGAGCCGGGAACAAAAATGCACAGGCAGTTGCTTGAAACAGAGATCAGGTTTTATTTCCGAGAGCACAACACAGAATAGGCCACTGTTAGGGTGGCCGTGCCTTTGATTTCCCTGGGAGCCTTTTATATGGGGAAGATCCAGCTATTGTTCCTCAAAAGCGTGCAGAAGAGTGCCCGCCCTCCAGGAATTCTTAGAAATTGCACTTAGCCGGAGTTCCAAGAGGGAGCGCTCTGAAGTCAGGTGCCCCGCTGAGCTGTGGTTTCCTGCAATCAGGCATCCTGTTGAGCTGAGGTATTTGCCTGTCTAACGCTGCTTGAGTGGAATACAGATCTCTTGGGGAAGAGATCTTTTGTTATTTGATTAAGGAAATCTTTTGGCTAGGTTCAAGGAATCTTAACTCTTCCTGCCACATTTTAATCTTTTGGGTGAGCCCATTCTAACTGTAAATTTTAATCTTTCACCTTGATTGCTGTGGGAAGACTGAGTAGCAGGATGGGACAAGCAGGAAGGTTTGATTTTCTGCTTGCATGGGGGAGGAGTTTGATTTCCTTCTCATACCAGTTACATGGGACTTGGCATGTATTTGACTTGATTTCAAATACCAAGACTATGAATTGTTTCATACATGCATATCTATAACTTGATGACTGTAGCAAGAAACAATAGCTGGCACATGCAAATGGGCTACCAGAGCTTCAGCTAATGTCTCCTTGATTAGGTTTATCATAGTCAAAAGAGATGCACTGAAAGATATGACTTATGTCAGCCATTAACAAAATCAAGCCCTGATATTTCAATAAGCTTAATCCAGTTTTTGTCAATTATTTCTTCATGAATTCGGCAATTGAATAATCAAAATGTACAGCATGTGTGAAATTCAAAGGCATCTATTTACCACAGATCCTTATCTATGCAGCTGTACATATTAGAAGACCTTCTTTCCATATAGATGCATCAGCCAGCTGAACTGACTTCAGCAGAAAAAACTGAACTGGAAAGTACAGAAAAATACCTACCTACCTACCGGCCTACTTATTTATTTATTTGTCACATTTATATAGCCGCACAAGCAACTCTGTGTGAGATGGGCGGCTATATATTATCCTTCCCTAACTTGGTGCCTCCAAAGACATTCAATTACAACTCTAGAACTTGCAGCCAGCATGCAGAAAGCTGAGAGAGAGAGAGATCTCAGCCTTCTGAATGCTAACCGCAAACAAAATCAGAAGTTACATTCCCCAAACATACCCCTGTACATACATACATATATTAATTTGGAAATTTAACTTCTGATATTGTTTGCCTTCTATAAAGACATGTCCCTCTCATTATTGAGATTGCCTTTTTTGATAACAGGACCAAGGTTTTTTTTTTTCTTATTTAAGTAAACAAAACTTGTGGGAATGATGTTGAGGCCTAGATTTCATGAAAGTGATCAAACATTGATGACACTATGCTGAAATACTTTTGGCATTAAACACATTTGGTATTAAGCAAATATGTTTAGTTCCTTATTCTATTGCAAAACACAGAGAACCCCAAGGATTCCACAAAACACATCTTCGGAAAAATATAGTATTATACATTTAGATGAGTTAACCGAATATCTGCCAGGTGCTCTGTAAAACAGCACTAAACATCTTCTTGCATTTAAACAAACATTGGAATTTTATCCGTTGAATATATTTCAAGTGACATGCAGACCACAAAGAAGTAAATGCACTATGTTGGAGAAATGTTAAACAATCCTTCAGTCTGCATAGTAACACAAGTAATATACGGTGAGAAAATGATCATTACCATTTTTATCCTATAAAAGAACCAACCAAATAGTCTAATCTGCATATGGGATATGGCTAAAGCAGTGACGAGCTGGATCCTCATTCAACTGTGACTGAAATAATCCAATTGAAATCAGTGGTGCAAGTTAGTCATGACTAGCTTAAATCCCACTTATTTTAATGCAAGAGCATTTAAGTTTGGATCCAATTAATTATCTTAATATATTTGAAATAAACATGTGGAACTGGTTCACACATGACACAGCTCACTTATAATACAACCCACACTGTTCCAGGCAGATGACGATTCCTTTACACGCTAAAGAAATTCTCGAGTCATGTAACAGTGATACATATGCCCCCCCCCCAAAAAAAAGCAGAATAAGATCTCAAATCATTAGGAGTTGAGCTTCTAAGGAGCCTTTTGTTTTGTAATTGGTTGGGCCAAAACTCTCCAGGACCGAGGACAGCTCCATAACGAAGAATAAACATTCTAGGCAAGATGAAGCTGGCCGGCTGATTGTGTGAGTCCCTCAAACCTTATTTCAGCAAGCAACACAAGGCTTTAATGTTTCCAATCAACAAGGTTTTTATCAGTCTAATCAGTAAACACTCATGCACTGAAAAACATATAAACTCCAGATTCTGGTAGGCTGAACTTCCATTCTTCAAACTCACTCCCCAAATTCTGCTCTAGCTTTCTCTGTATTTGATTCTTTCTGTCATTCTTGCTTAAAGGCTTTTTTTTTTTTTTTTAATCAGGAGGTGCCTTAGGTAGCATCAAGTCTCAGACTTCAGGCTTTGGAACAGATGGTAGAGGGAGAAGTCTGCTAAGCAAGAAGTAAAACTGTGCAGGCAGATTTTTTTGCTCAAACTGTATTGCAGTCCTAAGCAACCTATCTTAACATAAGTATCTTATGTTATCCCACTCCAGCAGAGCAAGTCTGATATTTAATTCAAAACTAAAAGGAACGGGAGAAACTTCAAAATAATGAAACAACTTCCATCTGTTTAGCACTGCTTGAGAATAGAAAGTCTGACTTTCACATTTCCACATTTCATTTCAAGCTGTAGAAGGTCCATGCATCTTTGCTGTTCATTCCCCTTCCCCCAACAAAATCCCTCCGATGGGTTTCTGACCATTGAAAGCCAATAATTCTGCAAAAGGCCACTGCAAAATGCCTACGAATAAGCAAGGCACACATAAGACACAGAACTGAGAGTGGACAAAGACAGCTTTCAACCCGATAAAAGAGAATGCGGCCTGCTATTTCCTGCTTCTCAGCCAGCCTAGCTTGGCTAGCCAATTCTCTGTGCTTCCCTTGGCAACGGATACAGAACGAGAGGCAGGGAAGAGAAGAGACATGAATATCAGGAACCTTACAGCTCCTTGCTTGATGGAGGTATGTTTCTCAATTAGCCTATTTACTGTAACTCCATGTTCAGAGTTATTCATTCTGGAAGAGGAAAAAAAATAGCAGAATTGAAGCAAAGCAGAACTGTCTCACATGCTTTTTAATCAGCAAACAAGCTTGAAATGGATATAGCCATAATTCTGTTGATGCATATCTGAATTCAGCCTCAGGTTATGAAAGCTGAAATGTGGCACCAGGGTTATCTTTCAATTATTATTTTTGTTGATTGTTTTTGCTGACTAATGCTTTAATTATAGTTTCATTGCATATCTGTTTCTTACCGGACTGTAAACCGTTGAGAGTCAGTTTGAATACGGCAGTCTGTAAAGATACTGTGTAAATAAATCTAGTAAATTCTGCTTCAAATATGGGGTATAAGTAAACATTCATCAGCACTGCTTTTTAAAATACTGTTTCCTGGTATGGGAATGAATACTCTAATTTCTGGACTGAATGCTTATACTATTCAATTATAATATAACAGGTATTAAACAGCTTAGCCCATTTCCACCAGGAATGGAAGTGTTAAATTTGTTAAAGTCATTTAGTAGGGGGAAAAGAATGCAGGAATTAACCTTTAATGGTTAGCCTACAGTGGAAAAACAACATTATCTTGTTTTTAGTTATGAAGATATTAGATATCCTTCAAAATCATCTAGGTTTTATTAAATAAAGGTAGCAACTTTAGCAACTATTAAAATCAAGAATTAACAACTTTTTAAAGCAGCAGTCACCATCCCCATGAATTCACACAATTCTCGCTCAAAATATTAAATAATAATTTGTTAAAGATAAATGTGTCTGAAATATTGTAAAATTTTGAGAATGAAGATCTTGCTATCGCCAAAGATTATAGTTGCCTTTAATTTTGTTTTTAAATGTTGTTTTTATTTTACTTTTTTTAAATTGGAGTATTTGGTGCTGTGTCTAAGGGTGTCACATGGCCAGGTTAAACATTCCCTTCCTTCAGTGTCATTATGGTAACAAGACTGAAGTTGCATTTAAATGAAATAAAAAGAACAGATATATTCATGGCAGATAGATACCCATGAATGTGGAATTTTTAAAAGAAAAATGGAAATAACAGCAGAGCTCAGATATATATAATTGGCATATTCTAAGGCTCTTCATCACCTCATCTAATAATGTGAACATGTCTTGCAAAGACATTTTTGTAAGATTACCCATGTTTTTCCTCCCTTC